CAGCTCCACAGGCAGCGCTGCACCTCCTGCCTGCTCCAGCATCTCTCACACCACTGACCCAGCTTTTCCGTTCCCCTTTGAAGCCAGCGCTGGCCGGGGTTAGTGGGAGGCGAGACACGGTGTTAGTAGGGCATGCGCTGGCCGGTTAGTGGGTTAGTGCTCAGCACCCGAGCGAGGGCAGCATGCAGAGCCCAGCCCAGCACCCTGCCCAGGGAAGGGGCTGCTTGGATCCAGGGGTCTGGGTCCCCAGGGCAGGAGGTGTTTGCGCTGCAGGGAGGGTGGGGAAGGTGTTAGTGGAGGGTTTAGCCTGTGCCGTGGATCCTGCTTCACAGGGGTCTGCCCCGGGCACCCTGCACCCCGAGCAGCCCGTGCCCCACACAACACGTGTCTCCCACCCCCAGCACTGGAGAAGATGGGCAGCAGGGAGAGGCGATCCCGCACTGCACTGCAAGGCTCCGGGGTAAGGGGACTAAAGGAGCCGGAGGAAGCAGGGAAGGAAGGGGTGAAAGCATCACTGCCGGTGCCTGTGTGAGGCTATGGCAGCTCTACAAGAACAGGGCTTTGGCAGAGACAGCAACGGGTCTCCAGTGAGCTCCCACTGCCTGAGGGGGGAAAACCAGGACATGGAGCAGAGGAAAGCCCTTGTCCTGCCGGCAGTGGCTGAGCAGTGCTCATTGCAGGAGCAGGAGCAGGCTCTGCACCGTACCCTGAGAAATAAGGCTGAGTAAAGGGGCAGCCACGTCACCCCATGGCCCTCTGCATCACCTCCTCCTGCAGCACGAGTGCCCTCTGGTCCCCATGAGGAAGCCTCTCTATTTTGGACTTCAAGGGGCTGTAATGCCTGTCACAAGCTGTGCCTGCCCTCAGCCCTCCTGCCCGCTCAGGGGATGCTCCCTGGAGCGGGCAATGGTTGCAGTGGTCATATCCACTTATGGGGCCACTGTCGCCCCACACAGCCCCACAGAGGCCATGCCATGGGCACCTTGGTGCCTGTGTCCCTCCCCGTGCTCCCGGCTGCTCCATGCACAAGGTGTTTTCTCCAAGCAGAGCAGAGACAGGGCCCTGCTGGGACACTGCACTGCCAGAGCAGAAAGCACCAGGGATTTGCTGACAGAGGGACAGGCAGCATCACTGGGAACAGCCCCGGTCCCTTTGTGCTCTGGCCATTGTGTCTCCTTGAGGAGCTGGCACAGCTCCTCTCCCATCCCATTTCCCTTCTCCCTCCTCACACACTGCATTCAGTGAAGGGGATGGGTCTCGTCCTGCCCATGCCCTGCCCACTGCTGTGGAGGGTGCATGGGGGCCCCGTGCTCTGGGTCCGGCTGGGATGGAGCAGCAGGAGGGAAGGGGACCAAGCCCCTCGTAACAAACCGCGCTGCAGCCCCGTGTCCTCAGGTGTCCCCAGCGCCGCCTCCTCGGCCGTGTCCCCCGCAGGGCCCGGGCGCGTGGCTCCAGCCCATGGCCGCCAGCACCGGGGTGCTCTGTGCCAGCCAGCCCAGCTCCAGCATCCGTGCAGGGGAAGCGATGGTGGTGCCGGAGCCCCGGCTCCCCTCCGGGCACAGGGCAGGAGCTGGGGCTGTGCCCCTGGGGAGCAGAGATGCTGTGAGACCCCGGCAGCAGGCGGCAGCCCCTCCCCACCTCTGGGCATGTGTGGGGTCACATCCTCTCATGGAGGTGCTCCTGGGGACGCTGTGACCCCGTGGACCCACTGGAGCCTGGGGAGAGCCCGTGATGGGGTCCCTGGGGAGGAAGGCCGGCTCCCCGCTGCCCAGAGCCCTCCCAGGTCACGAGGGGACAGCAAGGGGCTGGTACCATCCGTGTCCCCCTCCCCGGGGTCCTACCTGTGGTCACCAGCTCTGCGGGTGCTGTGCAGTGTCCCCCTGTCCTGTGTGGCTGCTCCGCCGCGGGGGCCGCAGGGGACTGTGTGTGAACAGACCTCAGGTCAGTCATTAGCAGCTGCAAAAGAAAGCAACCAACGCAGCAAGGGAGAGCAACGCAGAGCCGAGGGGAGGCATCGAGCTGGGGGAGCCTGGCGGGAGGGGCAGGCAGAGCCTCCCTCGGCTCCCCATCCCTGTGGGATTGAAGCCCCAAGGCTCTGACCCCACCACTGCTGGCAACGCTCCTGATCCCCACAGGGTGCCCGGGCTCTGCCCAAAGCTGGGGCAATGGAAGGGCCAGATCCCTGCTGAGGTGAGTAACTCCAGAGAGGACGCCTTCAGCACTGGAGCGTGGGGAAGCGCAGCATCCAGGCAGCTCCTGAGCTCGCAGCTTGGGGCGGAAACTGGGAAGGACCACACCAGAAATGGTGACAATGCCTCAAACCCTGTCATTTTCTGTTGATGGATGTCCCTGCATGGGGGGCAGAGACTGCCCCTGCCCCTGCCCCTGCCCTGCGGTTTAACTGGGTTGCACTGGCAGCGGGTCCCGGCGGACTGGGTTCGTGATGACTCTGCTGTTCAGCCACCTCCTGCTTGCTGCCCGTGGTCCATTGTGGCTGCACGTCGCAGGACAAAGCCTCCCATGGGGACAGCCGGGGACAGCCCGTCCCGGCAGCATTCGCAAACCAGCTGCCGTGGGGCTGGGCAGCGACAGGCACCAAACTGCCATCGAGCATCTGGCAGATGGGTTCCCCGCCTGGCCCCCGCCTGTGGTGGGGCAGTGGGCTGTGTGTGCCGGGATGAGGGCTGCAATGGAGCTCACCCCGGGAGAGCAGGGGGAGAAAACCAGTTCTGTGCAGGCAGCACTTCACCAAACACCTGTCTTACGTGTGGTGAGCGACCGCCAGCCCTGATCTCCTGCCGTGGGCTGGTGGCACGTAGGGTGCAGAGCACACCACAGTGAAACGGGCTAAACCCCCCCTCGAGTGAGGAGGAGGAGGATGGAGGGGAGCACTGCAGGCAGGAGCAGGGAGGTGAGGGCAGCAGGAAAGCTGCATGCGTGCTCCTGCCACACTGCAGGCACAGTGCTGGCTGCTCCACTGTGGAGATCTATGGGGTACAGATCCGGGCACCCCAGATCCCACAGGATGGGCAACGTGGCCCTGCCCTGGGCCCTGCCCGTCCCTCGCTGCCATCGGTGGCTGAGCCCCGGCTCTGGCACAGCCCCGGCTGCGGTGCTGCCGCAGCGGCGGAGGCGCTGCCTCCCTTTGTCTGCAGCTCTCAGGCTGGGCAGCCCCGGGAGAAGGGGATGGAGGGGGAGGAAGCTCCCTGCAAAGCCCAGATGCGGCTGAAAACCTGGCGATGTCTGGGCTCCTCCCGGCTCCCCGGGGCAGGAGGTGCTGGCACAGACAAAAGGCAGCGAGACAACGAGGGCAAGAAAATGGCTCCGAGCAGGAGCTGGGCAGCACCTGCCAGGGAAGGGCTGTGCTTGGGGGGCTGGCCCAGCCTCTCCTCTAACCCCCTACCTAAGATCATCAGGTGTAGGATGAAATGGTGGTTTCAAGACAAAGAAGCGAGCCAGAATTTGGCTACATTTCCTTCCAGGAGCAATGAGGCAAGAATCCATTTACCTGTCCCGAGCCCTATTCCTGATGAGGCTTCTGAAAAATAAAATTCAGATACAGACAAGCGGAGCATCAGTTCATGCCGGCGGGGCCGGGGCTGCCGGCGGAGCCCGGGGGGACCGAGCATCACCCCGCAGGCCGGGACCACGCTGACCCGGCCCCGGCCCGGTGCCCGTGGGGCTGTGCCCGACGGGGCCTTCGCGTGGGACCGGCTGCTACCCATGGAATTGGAACAGCGAGGGGAGGGGATAAAGCCTTCTCCTTGGACCGAGCGCAGTCGCGCGGCGATGCCCGCTGCACCGGCGGCTCCGCCTGCACCCCCCGCACCCCAGATCCCACCCGGGAAGCACCGGAGGAATCCCGGCGCGGCCCTACCTGGCTTCCAGGGCGGGGGGTTCGGGCCGCCGCCTCCCGCTCGCTCCGGCCGCTGCGCAGCGTCTGTGTGCGGGAGCGCCCCGGAGGAGCCGGCCCGGAAACCCCACCTCCATCCCCCTCCTCCATCCCCCTCCTCCACCCTTCATCCCCCCCTCCTGCATCCTCCATCCTCTCTTCTCCTGCCTCCATCCTCCTGCCTCCAGCCTCCATCCTCCATCCTCTCTCCTCCATCCTCTCTCCTCTTGCCTCCATCCTCCATCCTCTCTCCTCTTGCCTCCATCCTCCTGCCTCCATCCTCTCTCCTCTTGCCTCCATCCTCCATCCTCTCTCCTCTTGCCTCCATCCTCCTGCCTCCATCCTCTCTCCTCTTGCCTCCATCCTCCATCCTCTCTCCTCTTGCCTCCATCCTCCTGCCTCCATCCTCTCTCCTCTTGCCTCCATCCTCCTGCCTCCATCCTCTCTCCTCTTGCCTCCATCCTCCTGCCTCCATCCTCTCTCCTCTTGCCTCCATCCTCCTGCCTCCATCCTCTCTCCTCTTGCCTCCATCCTCCTGCCTCCATCCTCTCTCCTCTTGCCTCCATCCTCCTGCCTCCATCCTCTCTCCTCCATCCTCCATCCTCCTGCCTCCATTCTTCACAGCTGCCAGGCTCACACGTTGCTCTCCTGGCTGTGTGCTGGCCTGTCCCTCTGCATCGCTGCAGGCAGAGCTGCTTGCTTGCCTTTGCCTTGGGTATGAGAGGTGCTGCGGGGCTGGTGGGTGCTGCAAGCTGGTGTGAGTGCAGGGGTGTGCCTGGGTGCACCAGGATGGGTTCTGCAGGGCCCCTGAGGATGTGTGGGTACAGCAGCCAGGCTGACCACTGTGTGGGGTCAAGCAGGGCCAAGATTGGGCCATTGCACCTCACTGCATCTCCAGATGTGAGCTGGGCAGGGGCTTCTCCTGCCTGCAATGGGACATGTGGATGCCTGCGCTGGCTGCAGGGGCAGAAAAGGATGGCTGTCCCCCCCACCCCAGGACACAGTCCCTGCAGGGCCCCTGCTCTGTTCTCAGGCACAGCATCACCCCCAGCCACACGCTCTCTGCACCCCTTCCCCAGTGCCAGCGCCTTGGACAACTGAGTCTTTATTGAGCTTTGCCCCTGCTGCCCCATGGTGGACACAGTGCCCAGGGTGTGCGGTTGGTGTCACGGCGGCTCCGGTGGTCACTGCTGGACCCTGCGGATGGACTGGACCTGTCCTGTCTGTGCATGGGAGCCCCACTCCCGCACATGCTTGTACTCGCCGGCGTGGCTGTCGCTCTCCAGCAGGTACTGGAAGCCACGGTACCCCGGGAACTGCGAGCAGACCCACCTGCGGCAGGCAGAGAGCGGCGGTCAGTGTGGGCATGAGGCACCGGAGCATCCTCAGCTCCAGTGTGTGCCATAGAACCCCAGCCTGGTTTGTGTTGAAAGGGACCTTAAAGCTCATCCAGTTCCACCCCCTGCCACGGGCAGGGACACCTTCCACTAGAGAGCAGCTTGCTCCAAGCCCTGTCCAACACCTTGTTCACTGCCAGGGTGCAAGCCGCTGGGTACTCACGCGCCGGAGCGGACAAAGAAGGAGCCCACGGCGCTGCCATCCCAGCCCAGGGCGGGCAGCGAGGGGCAGTCATCGCTCAGCTCCCCCCGCTTGCCCTGGAAGTTCTCCTCCTCAAAGAGCATGAGCCTGCTGCGCCCGCGGTCCTGGCACAGAGAGGGGCACGGTGTTGGTGCGTGCCCCCGGCCGGTGATGGGCTCCAGGACCAGCCCGGCAGTGGGGAGCCGGGCCGGGGGCACTCACGGCGCAGGCGATGGGGCGGAAGGAGCACATCCTCTCCACGTGGTAGGCATTGCTGCCGCTCCACGCCTCCCAGCACGGGTACTCGCCGCGCTCCAGCACGAACTGCTGCCCCTGGAAGCCACAGTGCTCGAAGCCAGCCCATCTGTGGGGCAGGAGAGAGGTGAGATCCCCGCAGCACCTACCACCCCGCTCACACCCCGCAGGGATGTGGTCATTGCCTGGAGGAGACAGCCCCATGGCTTGGGGGGCAAAAGACCCTGGAGACCTCCATCCTGCAAGCCCTCTCCACCAGACCACGGGGTCCGTCCCACCCAGTCCCCACTCACGCCCCGCTCTCGATCTTGCAGGAGCGGACGGTGCTGAAGCCGTGCTCCGCGGTGCTGTAGCAGTCGGTGGTGAACTCGTGCTTCTTGCCCTGGAAGAAATCCTCATCCCACACCACGATCTGGGGAGGACGGAGGCAGTCAGGGGGCTCCGCGGTGCAGAGGCCCTAGGCAGACGCTGCAGCCCCGTGCACAGGGGTTCCTGGGGCTCAGGAGGTGTCCTGCTGATGCTCCCATACCTTCCATAGTCCAGAGGAGCTCCTGCTGTGGTAGGTCATGGTGGCTCTGCCAGGGGAATGGGACCATTAAAGCCTGCCCAGACCCTGCATGCTCCATCACTGCAGCAGTGTGAGCACGCTGCCCGAGCCCAGGGACACTCCTGCTTCCCGGGATGGGACAGGGCAGACTCCTGCTCCCTGCTCCCAGGGATCTGTCCAGGCCGACCCCTGTGTAGTAAATTCTGGTGACCCAGCAGAGCCAGGAGCACTGCAGAGGTTGCTGCATGTCCATGCTGAGCAGCAGCACCCTGCCATGGCCAGCGATGTCCCCTGGTCCCCCACCACCATTCCCCGTGCAGCCATGTGTGAAAGCAGAGCAGTACCACAGCCCAGCCCCAGCTGTTTCCCATCTCCTTGTTTCCCATCCTGGCCACAGGACCCAGCCCCGGGTCCCAGATCCTCCCCTGTCCATGTGGTGCCCCCAGGCTCCTGTGCTTACCTGTTTGATGCGCTGGTGCCCGGGGGCTGACATGTCCAGCAGCCTCGCTGGGTTTTTATAGCCTGCAGCTAGATCAGAGCCCAGGGGAGCATTATGGAAACCCCTAACTCAGCACATGGCAGGAGGAGGGACCGGGCAGAACAAAGGCGATGCTGCAGCGACGCTGATGAGCTGGGACACCAGAGCTCCTGCTGCCCTGACCCCATGGACCACGGGCTCTGCCCATGCCCTGTCTGGGAGGGAGGTTTCCCTACCTGCATTGCTGGGAAGCAGGAGGAAAGCTGCATCTCCAGCTCATCTGCTATGGCAGAGCAGCTCCCTGTGAAAGCAGGGCCAGCTCTTCTGCAGGTTGAGCACAGCAACCATAGAGCATCATAGTCAGTGGGGGCATGGCGTGCAGGAGAGCAAGGGGCAGGTTTGCAAAGGCACTGGGGGGGCTGCAATGCAGATCAGGACTTGGGAAGTGCTGCAGCCTCCTCCTGCCTCTGCACAGGGACCTGGGAAAATCCTGCCTCGGCCACATTTTGGGTACCTAAATACCTTCAAGCTTTGCTCCTGGTGACTGCCCTCAAATCATGCCAGGGTCATGCAGGGCTCCAGGGGCCAGCACCCTGCAGAGGCACCCACAAGCAGGGCAGCAATGGGGCAGCAGTGAAAGGAGACTGCTGGGCCCAGTGGCAATTCCCGTGTTCCCAGGTAGGGCTGTGTTTTGGGACAGTGTTTGCCAGGGATCTGCGGGGTGGTTGAACTGGAGCATCCTCCTTCCAGCCCCGGTAGCCCCGGCACTGCAGGCTCACATGCAACCGCCTGCAGTGGGGGGTGTCCCCAACATCTGCACCCCCAGCAAATGCGTGTTAGGCACAGGCTGATTGCTGTGGCCCCAGCTGAACCCAGCTTGGTCATCAGTGCAGAGACTGCAGCTCACTGCAGTGTGTTCCAGTGCCAGGATGTGGTTGTGGGGAGCCCGGGCTGTGGCTGGTGTCCCTGTGGTGCTGCCCAGCGCCAGGCAGGTGATGCCGCAGCAGGAGTCTGCACGCAGTGATGCAGCAGCAGGAGGTGTGCATGCAGTGATGCAGCAGCAGGAGGTGTGCATGCAGTAATGCAGCAGCAGGAGGTGTGCACGCAGTGATGCAGCAGGAGGAGGTGTGCATGCAGCAGGACTCACCAGGGCAGAACAAACTCCTTGTGCTGGGCAGGAGCCTGTGCCAGTGCCTGTGGGGCTGAGCTGTGTCAGCTCCAGCCATGCAGTGAGGCTGGGGTAGCTTGTCCCTGGGTTTGAGCTGCACCTCCTCTCTGTTCCTCTGTGCCAGGGTGGGACAGTGCAGCGAGGGAACGATGCAGGATGGGATGGTGCAAAGGCTTTCCAAAGCCCAGGGCAGGGATGCTCAGTGGGGAAGGCAGAAGGGATCAGTGAAAGCTTTTGGTTCAGGATCCTGGACAATGGCTCAGGGGGTGCAGTGGGATCCTGGTGGTTGGCACTTGAGGGGAGTGAAAGATGATGGCAAAACTGAGGGCTCGGAGCTTTCTGGATACGCAGACCTGGGTATTTTGCTGCTGCCAGTGGTGAAGAGGCAGCCTGAGTGCTGGTGCTGAGGGAGGCTGCGGGTATTGGACTGGACCGGGAGGAAACAAGCATGTGGGTATTTACCCAATGCACAGGATCACAGCAGCAAACAGGGAGAGCAGCGGCTGGAGGCTCACTGGGAGCTGGGGCAAGGTCCCCCCGAGGAGTCCCCTGCTGTGGGGTGCAGGAGATGTGCTCCTGCAGGGACAGTGCTCAGTGTGTCCCCAGCCAGACACCCCATGGCCCTTCTGCCACTGAGACAGCATCAAGGCACTGACACCTGCCCGGGGTTTGGTACCGCACAGTTCAGTGATGGCAGAACTGGGGATGGGAGAGAATGAAATGGGCTAAACCCAGCCAACATCCACGCCAGGGAGCATCCTCCACAGAGAACACCGCTTTGAAGGATGGGGATGGTTTGGAAAGTGTCAGCTACAATTACACATCATTTGGGAAAAAAAACCCAAACCAACTCTCGAAGCGTCTCAAAGCACTTCAGTTGTGTCCTGGCATCTCCAGGGCAGCGCATCAGCCGTCTGTGGGTACGGGGTGATGTTCAGAGTGAGACACTCAGCATGGGGAGGGGAGAGACAGGCAGAGTGTGGCTGTCAGAGCGGGCACCACACAGGCACGGGGCTGATGCAGCAGCACCAGAGCTGCGTGCCCATGTGTGTGCAGCGGGCAGGGAGGGCGGCGTGCTGGGCTGCTCCGGGGCTATATATGCCCTGTCGGGGCGGCCACACGTGAGGCACAAAGTGGCAGGGTCAGGTCTTCTGTTGTGCCACGGGCACAAAGGAAAGTGCTGGGTTCAGCGACTGGGCACGGGGCCGGGGAGAGGCTTCCAGCTCGCCCAGCGCTTTGCAGGATGTGATGACTGGGCGGGCGCGCAGACACTGATGAGCCGGCAGTTCCTTTGTGCGCCCGCCCGGGGTCTGCCCTTGCCAGGCTATAAAGTGGGGGCCTCGCTGCGCCCCAAAACACAGCCCGCTCACTCCAACAAGAACCAGCAGCTGCCCAGGTAAGAGGACACAGTCACCGGGCTGCAGCCGGACCCGAGGCGGGGAGAGGGAAAGGCAGGGGCTCAGCCGTGGTCATCACGCTTGGGAGCATCCCGAGCTCAGCATCCCACTGCCCTTCCCTATCCCAGTGCCACTGCTGACCCCCGCCTGCTACTGGGTGACTACTGGGGGGCTCAGCAACCCTGTCCCACCTTCCTACCCCCCGTGTCCCTGTCAGGGTCCCTGACACCCCCTGTTTAGGATGGTACCAGCGCCCAGCCTGGCCATTGAGGGCAGAGACCAGCTGGTCCTGGGCATCCTTGCAGCGGTGGGACCATGCTCAGGGCATGAGGAGAGTGTGGACACCCAGCACCTCCCAACATCCTCCAGATGAAGGCAGGGCCACTGCCTGGGCCTGCAGAAGAGCCCCCCAGCAGCTCCTGTCCTTGCCCCAGTTCCCACCCCATTGCTGAGCCCCCCATCCCAATGTGACAGACCCGAGGGCAGGGTGGTGGGTGCCCACATCCCTGCCTCCCCTCTGACCTGCTGCTGGCACCTCTGCCTGGTGCCCTCCCTGTTGCAGACTTGAGCCCAACACCGCGATGTCTGAGACCACAAAACCCGCTGCTCCCGGCCAGGCTGCGGAGGAGAAGGAGAAGGTGGCTCCTGTGCCAGCTCCATCCCTCGACCCTGCTCCCATCACTAACAGCAAGGGTGAGGAGCCCACCACAGAACCCTTCAGGGTAAGCCCTGCTGCTCCCCACGCGCGGGGACACGGCTGAGGGTGAGGGGTGGTGGCAGCATCTTTGGGGTGCTTGGGCAGAAGGAGATCTCCGGTGTCCCGGCAGGAAGGATCCTGCTCCGAGAGCAGGAGGGGAGCAGCTCGCGGGGCTGCTGCAGGAGGGATGCTCTGGGTAGCTCTTGGATGGGATGGCTCATTGAGGACCAGAGGCTTTGGAAATGCTCCCCCCAGGTCTAACATTAGGGGTGCCTCTGGTCACCTCCCTCCATGCAGGAGCCCAGAGCTGCTCCAGATGCTGGGGAAGGAGGCTATGAGTGACAGGGCCAGCATCAAACCACCAGGGTGATGCCAGGGCAGCGTGTCACCAAGGTGCTGCAGCAGGGCTGGGGACGAGCAGTGCAAGGGCTCTGGTGACATTGCAAATGCCAGGCAGCAAAGGCCATGGGACAGATGCAGCTCCTGGAGAAGCAGCTCCTTCCCAGTGCGGCCAGGGCTGACGTGGGCAGGGTCCATGCAGGGACACGCAGCACTGCCCTGCCCTGCCCTGCCTGTCCCCATCCAACCCTTCCCCTCTGCCCCAGATCATCGTCTTCGAGCAGGAGAACTTCCAGGGCAGGCAGATGGAGTTCACCACCGAGTGCATGAACCTGGCGGACCGCGGCTTCGACCGGGTGCGCAGCGTCATCGTCACCTCTGGACCGTGAGTGACCCTGGCCATGGGGGGGACCGTGGCCATGGGGATGCCCTGGGGAGGTGGAGACGTGGTCCTGGGGAGCAGCCCCATGCACAGCGCGATGTGTGGGGGCATTTCCTTTGGGTCTCCTTTGGGGGGTGCTAGGTGGCATGGGCAGGGGGAGGATGCCAAGGCCATTGGCAAAGCAAAGGGCACTGGAGTGAAAGGCAGAGGCCAAGGACAAGCGTCCCTTAGATCTGCTACCTCAAACTGACCATGAAATGTGACCGCAGATTTTAGAGAAGCCAGGGTGAAATGATGCGGGTGCCTTGGACCAGGCTGGTGGCCAGAGCCAGGGAAGCACCGTGCCTGGGAAGGCAGCACAGTGGTGCAGGGCAGCCAGTGCTGTGAGAAGGATGCACGGGACACAGCTTGCCCTCACACACTGGGCAGGGTGATCTGTGACCACCTTGAATGACACCAAGTAGCACCAGTAACAAGTTCTTTATTGAGAAGCCAAACCATCCAACTCTTCTTGAAACAGAGGGGTTGGAGCAGCCCTGAAGGAGCTTGGGTGTGAGGGGCAGGCAGCTGCACTCGGTATGGAAAGGGTGGAACAGAGCACTTGTGTGTCACTGGGGTCCTCAGAGTGTCCTTGAGAATCAGTGGTGAGACTGCGCCCACAGATTTACTTAGGGAAAGAAAAGCAGACTCAACCAAGCTGAGCCTCAGAAGTCAGTGTGTGGTTGTGCTGCCTGTGGCACCCGAGCATGGCTCCTGCCATTAGGAAAATACGTGTTGGTGCCTGCAGAACAGGTACAACCCCATCCAAGGGGGACGTGGGGCTGTTCTGGTGCCACGGCTTTCGGAGCCCTGTGTTCGTGACCTTCACAGCACAGCAGCACCTCGTGGCACTGCTGAAGAGGGGACACTGCAGAGGAACAAGCCCCTGGCGACCGCACACTGGGAACAGGATGAGTGCCAGAGCTGGCTGCGGCGCTGCAGCCAAGCACGCAAGCGTGCCAGGATTGCACAGCCTGGGCAGCCCTGGCCTGGGCTCCCTGGGGCAACAGGGAAAGCAAAGTGATAACGCAAGGACCAGTCTGTGGTGAGCAGCGTGCGGGGCTCACAGCAGCTTCCTGGGATGAGCAAGGCCAGCACCATGGGCATGCTGGTGGCTGCTGCAGGCCTTGCATGTGTGCACCAGTGAGAGCCTGACTGCTCAGTGCTGCCAGCTCTGCACCTGCCATAAAGGAGGAAGCAGGACGGTGGGACCAGTCCCAACACCCGCAGTCTCTCTGGGTGCTGGGAGCCCGGGTCTGGCACCCCACAGGCTGAGCAGGAGCAGAGCTGCTGGTGCACCTGACCCACGGTCTTGTCCTCCCCATGTCCCCAGATGGGTGGCCTACGAGCAGGCCAACATGCGCGGGGAGATGTTCATCCTGGAGAAGGGGGAATACCCTCGCTGGGACACCTGGTCCAGCAGCTACCGGAGCGACTGCTTCATGTCCATGCGCCCCATCAAAATGGTGAGTGGGGTGGGAGCAGAAGCACCCAGGGGGTCTGGCCAGGACCTGCACCACACTGCACGACCCAGCGCCTGCTTCTTGCCTTCTGCAGGAGGCCGAGGACCACAAAATCTCCCTGTACGAGTCTGCTGACTTCAAGGGCAACAAGATGGAGATCCAGGAGGACGACGTGCCCAGCCTCTGGGCTTACGGCTTCTGCGACCGTGTGGGCAGCGTGCAGGTGCCCAGTGGAACGTAAGTGGGCTCTGGCCAGCACCGCCGCCCCCCCGTGCTCCTGTCTCTGATCCCGAGCAGCCTTTGGTGGCGGAGCCATCAGCGGGGTGGCAGCAGGGGCTCAGGGCTGCTCCGTGTGCTCTCCCTGCAGCTGGGTCGGGTACCAGTACCCCGGCTATCGGGGCTACCAGTACCTGTTTGAGACCGGAGACTTCCGACACTGGAACGAGTGGTCGGCCTTCCAGCCGCAGATCCAGTCCATCCGCCGCATCCGGGACATGCAGTGGGACCAGAAGGGCACCTTTGTCACCCCCGATGTGCCCTCCGACTGAGCGGGCCCCGGGAGCCGCGGGCACGGCCGGCGCGGCACCTTCCTTCCCTGCCCATGGCACATTCCCGGGATGTACCTGACCTTGCGAGGCAATTAAAAACCCCAGAAGACTCGAGCTGCCGCGGCCGGTGACACACGGGGGGGGGGGCGGCCCTGCTCCCGGTGGGACCGGGCTGCCCGGCGGGGAGCACACACGGGAAGGGCGGGATCGCGGGGGGGGGTGGTGCCGGTGCCGGTGCGCACCGGTGCTGCCGGCGGTTACCGGTCACCCACCCGCGGTGACTGCGCTCCATTGGAGCCCGGCTCCTCCTTCCCGCGCTCCCGCCCCGTTACCGCGGCCCGGCGCGCGCTCCCGGTGGCCGGCGGCGGGGCGCATGCGCGGGGATCCCGGCCCGCCGTGCGCGTGACGTCGCCGCGTCTCGCGCCGCTCCGGGCCGGCCCCGGCCCCGGTCCCGCTCCCGGTCCCGGTGAGTGGAGCTGGGGTGGGGGGGGCACGGGCACGGGCACGGCGGGGAGCGGCTCGGGCAGCTCCGGGCCGGCGGCGGCCCCGCTCCCGGTCCTGGTCCCGGTCCCGGTGAGTGGAGCTGGGGTGGGGGGGGCACGGGCACGGTCACGGCGGGGAGCGGCTCGGGCAGCTCCGCCGCTGGCTCCCGCGGCGCGCAGGTGCCAGGGGCGGCCGGGAGCGGCGCTCGGCAGCGGGGGGTGCGGGCGCCGGGAGCCCGGAGCTCGGTGGGTGCGCGGCGCTGGGGGGGGGGGGTGGCAGCGGCGAGCGGGGCGCGGTGCTGAGCGGTCGGTGCGGGGTACCCGGTGCGGGGTGCGTGGGGCCGCGCAGGGCGCTTGGGGCCATCGTGCAGCACCGCGCAGGGTGCCCGGTGCGGGGTGCCCGGTGCGGGGTGCCCGGTGCGGGGTGCGTGCTGTGCAGCGCGCGGGGCAGGGCAGCGTGCTCAGTGCGGTGCAGGATGCGTGCAGAGCATGGGCAGTGTAGCTCAGCGTGCACAGCATGCAGGGCAGGGTGCTGGGTGCTGGGTGCTCCATGTACCTGCTTTTCCCCCTCACTCCTGCCTTCCGGTGGGCTCCCCTCACCCTCAGTGTCCCCTGCGCCCCTTTGGGAGCCCAGCCCCAGCCCCAGCACCCGTGTATTGCCCTATGGGACAGAGATGCGGGAGCGGGCTCAGGCACATTGCCCATTGGGAGGCACCCACGGGCTGGGACTGCCTGTGCGTCCCTCCAGGCCTCCTGGGTGAGCGACTGCTCCTGTGGGTCTCATTCAGCATCAGCCTCCCGGCAGGTTTGTGCAGCAGCTTCTGCTGGGGTCTGCAGCCTGTGTCCCTCGGCAGGGTTCCTGTATGGCCATGTCAGTGCCTCAGCCCACCCAAAACACCAATGCTGTCCCTGCTGTGCCCTGGTGCTGCGTGGCGGGGATATGAGATCCATGCTGTGCCTGCAGCACGCTCAAGGACTCATGGCCAGCATCACCATCCCTGCCGCTGCCGGCAGCACAGGCTGGGCTGCAGCCTTCCACGGGAAGGACATGGTTTGCATCGCGTGAGGCTTTGTTCCGTCCCTCGCTGTGTTTGTTTGCATGTGTGGACTCTGTCCAGAGCACACCTCACAGCTTGAAACCCCCTCATGCATCTTCCCCTCCGCACAGCTGGGCCATGCTCACGCTCAGGAGCCAAGCGAGGGCGAGTGGAGGGATTGAAGTGATTTGTGCTAACAGGGTTCCAAATTTGATGTTGCTTTTCTGGGAACACTGCAGCGCGCACGTGGGGAGCCTGGTGAGAGCCAGCGCAGGTTCGGATGTGTCCTCGGTGTGGGTTTGTGGTGCTGCCCGGCTGCAGCCTGTGCGTGTGGCACCCGGCCGGAGCAGATGGACTGTGCTGCCTGCAGGGTGCTGTTGGTGCGGGGGGCACTGAGCCTCCTGTGCTCTGTGGGTCGGTTCTGTGCCTGTGCGGGTGTTTGGGCAGCACTGTTCCATAGGGAAGCAGTGGCTGGCTGTTCCGGAACACAGAGCATCACTGCTGGGCCCAGCCATGAGAGCCAGGTCCATCCCTCAACATCTGATGGTGTGTCAGCTGAGCTGGGGCAGCCTCCACCGTGCTGCATCCAGCCTGAGGCCCTTGGCTCAGGGTGAGCAGCACGGTGTCCTGCAGCGGTGGCTGAGCCGTGCAGGTCCTTCCCACCTCACCTGGAGCCGGTGCTGCAGCCACATTAGGGGCACTGCTGCAGGGGGATACGGGTGGAATCGCACCCTCCGCACTGGTGCGATGTCCCAGGCTGGGGTGCAGAGGCAGGAGCTGCCATGGGGTCTCTCCAGGATGGGGTTCGCCAGGATGGTGCCACTGCCTCCTCTGCCTGTAGGTTTTACAAATGGTATTGGCAATTTCTGTGCTATTTTAAGAAGATCCTTCCAAAAGCAGTTTGTGTTGCAGATGGGCCGAGCTGAGCCTCGGAGGGATGTGCGGGATGGCTGGAACGCCGTGAAACGCAGCGACTCTTGAGGATGTTTTGGAGGGAGAAAACAACCACTTGGCCGTTGGTCTTATTTGTGCCGCACAGAAGCATCTCCTGGTGAATCTGTGAAGCGTTAGGAAGCCTCAGCAGAGCATGTTCCACGTTGGATTTCACAGCCCTCTGAGTGCAGGCAGCAAGTGTGAGGCTGTGTTGTCATCTGCCTGCTTTGTTTTGTACCATTTTGAAGCCTTTAGTCGGTGCAGTTCTCCCAAGCCTTTGTCTGCCTCCATGCTATCTAACAGTGAATGAAGCTTCTTTTTCCTCTCTTCCGTCCCCATCCTTCTGCACTGGTCCCACCGTGCGGGTGCAGGCAGGAGCATGGCTGCAGCACTGCCCATAGGTGCCATGCAGCGTGCAGGAGATCCCCGCGGGGTCTGCAGACGAGAGCCAGCACCCGCAGCAGAGCTTGCTCAATGCGCGGTGCTCGGAAGTGAAGCAAGTGGCTGGTTCCATCCTGCATTCCCTGCTGAGCGAGCCCAAACCCAGACGGGGAATCCACACCCAAGGTGCTGCTCCGTGGAGGAATGACCACTGGGTTTCTGGCTCCGGGGCTGCTGCAGTGGGGCAGGGGGAAGCAGCTGCTCTCATTCCTGCTCTGTGCTGGGTCCTGTGGCAGAGCAAGGGTTGCATGCAGGGGCAGCCCTCGGTGGCCCAGCGCTTGCAGATGTAAACGGCAGCAGAGCTCGCAGCTGGGCTCTGCAGACAGGAACTGAGCCGTGAAGCACTCGGATGTGCTGGGCAGGGTAATCTGTGTTACAGAGCAGCGCGTCTCGGAAGGACCCGGTTCCTGTTCTGCCATCATGGCTTCACCAGGGCTTGCGTGTCCTCGCTGGGGCTGTGCCTGCACGTGGGCTTTGCACCATATCGAGCAGGCAGCCACGTATCCACTGTTGTTGAAGTCGGTGCTGGGCAGCACGCTGTGCCCTCCCCAAAATGACTGGCTTTGGGAAAACACCAAGTGCCTGCTCTTGTGGCAGCTGATGTGCTGAGCCGTGGTGGAGATCCTGAGGCTGGCCCATGCTCAGGACCATGTACTCGCCAACCAGGAGCCATGGGAGCAGGGATAGGGCTGAGCAGAGCGGGGATGCAGGCAATGGAGCTGCACAAGGGCATCACATCACCCTCTCCTCAGGCGGTGCCTGCAGCGCCGGGGATGGCTGGTGCTGCTGCATGGGGAAATAAAATACTTTGATTTTGTTTCTTAAGCAAATCTGAGGTTTTGGGGTTTCTCTTGCAGAAACAATTTTTTATTTGCAAATCCCGGTTTTGTGCGTGCAAGAATGGAGCTTGTTGAGGCTCAGGGTTTGGCGTGTGGATTGGGAAAATATTGCTTTTGAAGATACTTGGGTTTTTTCTAACAGTTCCTCTTCTCTTTCTCCCTGTTGCTTGTCGGGCTCTGACCACCCACATTCACACGGGGAATCTTTGTTTGGTTTTGAGAGGGAAGAGTTGTCTGCACTGAGCGTGGTGAATGAACCCGGAGGCTGCAGGCGCCTTCATCCCCAGAGGCAGCGATGCAGAGTAATTAACAAGAGCTGAAGCTGTGAGCCGGAGCTGTGGGTTGATGAAAAGGCTGAGGTGACCCTGAAGCACTGAGCTCCTGTCCCCTGTGGGACAGCGGAGACTGCACCGATCCCATCCATTGCTGGGGTCACAGACACCCCCCCAGCTCTGGTACCCATCCCTTGGGGTACAGAGCAGTGTGGGGGGATTCTCTCTTCCCTGCCTGTATCCCCTCACCCTGCTGCACCTCCCAACCCTGTCCTCGATCCAGGGGGGTACATGGTGAGCCCCTTCCCTCCTGGCTTTACCAGAGCTTTGCAGCATGCGGTGGGTACAGTGGGTGCCTCCATCACTGTCTCCTGCCAGCAGCTTTCACTTCAGGCATTTCATAATTAATAAGCCAGCTTGAGACAAAAGCAGTTGCCCTACAGAGAGGTTGGCATTGGGAATGCTGTGGTTTCCATCGCCGGACGATAAAATGCCATTGCTGTGCTTGGAATGAGAGGGGGGTGGAGAAGATGCTGTAAATTGGTGGGATTTTTATTGTTTCAGGAATACTGTAGCATTAAGCAGGATAATAAAATGTTTTTCTAATCATAACAGCCCCGAGGCGATAAACAGACAGGAGATTTGTGCTGTGAAATGTCTGTTGATGTGATTTAGAGCCGTTAAAGCGGGCTGGCGCACTGTGTGTGCCCCTGGCCAGCTCTCCTGGGGTGCTGTGCCGGGGTGCTGCGATGGGGACGCGCTGTGTGGCTCAGGGATTCCACCTCAGCCTTGCCCGAAAGCTGGTGTTGGAAGCTGCAGTCCTCAGGGCATCAGATTCTGCTGGTTGGTTTTTGTAGGTACTCAGCAGAAAGAATAAATTCCATATATCCCTCCATTGTGCTTTGGGAGAAAAATGGTCTTTAGTGGAAGACCCTCAC